CAAGCAAGATGATTTAGGAGAGAGGAGAGGGGAGGAATTCGACCAGAGGTTCCTTGCTTTTGGTTGTGTGTCGAATTCCCCCATCCATAGGGGCTATTTATACTATTAGACTCCTCAAGGGTTTCACCCTAAACCCTAATTGGATAATCTTCTCTTAAGGCTATCCAAATCCATTCCATAGATAACCCTATGGACGATTTTGAGCTATCCTAAAGCTCTTAGAATCCGTCCAAGATGTATCCTAATGGATTTATAGTCTAAAGTCTAACTATCAAACAATTGACAGTTTATACCCTCTTATTTAATTAATCTCTTTAAGTCACCAAATTAATACCAATTAATTTATGACTTATATTAATCAAATAGCTAAATATTATTCCTTATAACATTCACTCTCTCTTAATAAATCATCCTTCAAGTTGCTATGGTGAAGGCAACCCAAAAGGACCATGCACCACCGAATATAGTTATAGCCTTAGACACTATTCCAACAACATGGACCCTTGAGAGTTAGTTATTACCTTAATTGTTAATTAGGGTTTTATTATGTATACGTTTAATGTGATGAGACTTGGTATCATCAGATCGAGTGTGTGGGTTATATTGTCTTCAGATTGAGGCAAGTCTTCTCACTATACTATATAGGATGCTAGTTATCCTTATGATACTTGCATGGAAGACCATGGGGGTAACCCATGAAAATTGTATGAAAGACCATGGGGGTAGCCCATTACACTTGGATATAAGACTATGGGAGTAGCCCATGGCATTTTAGGGAAAGATCATGGGGATAACCCATGATATTTCATAAAAGACCATGGGGGTAGCATATGACAAATGTATGTATTGTATATGGTATTTTTGACTGCACTGCATCAACTGAAATTTTATTCTGTATTGACTGTTTTTTATTTTACTCTGATGTTTTGAGAATACTGTTACTCTGATTATCTTTCGAAACAAATAAATGAATGATTTTAATTGATTTAAAATGAAAATTTTATTCAGTATTTTTGGGACGTTACAACGAGAGTCATAAGAGAGATATTATTATGGTGTAAGCTTGATCAAATGGTCTTTTATTAAAATATAATATTGTTTTTGGGAGTTCGGGTGATACGTAAGTGAGAGTGAGATAAATTAGGTGACGATATTACATGTATCGTTTCAAATAAAGAAATAGGTCCATGACTTAGGTTATGAACAATATTTGTATGAGATTGTGATACATACGTGTATAAATGGCCGAGTTCCCATAATTCTCATATTTTGCTTCTATAACCTCACGCAAGACAATCTCCCCACTATTAAAAGCCACACAACTATCACACTGCCTCATATCTATCTCTTCTAATAAATGAAACCTAAAAATGATACATATCAATTTTTTAGAATGTCTCTTTGACACGTGATATTTTTCTATGATTTTTATTATTTCCTTTTTTATGGTAACAAACCAAATTCAATTAAAATTCAAAACTTGAAAATACAAAATCATATCATAATAACATTATTATGTTTATTTTGCTTAACAAACTAATTCATAATTACTTACAATTGACAATATCTTTGTTTTTTTTATACATTTATTATTTTTTATCTATATAAAAATTTTTAAATATACCGATTGTGATTTCCACGGGTTATAACCTAGTAATCCTATATATGACTATTACTCTTTTACTTTATCTTTGTTGGTATTTGTAATTACCATTTTCGTTTCCATCTCTCTATCTTTCAACATACGACCATATATCCATGACCTTTATCATCTCAAAATAAAAACATTATTACATACCAAACATTCTACAAACCATTTTTGGTGTCATATATAGTCATATAATGATATCATGCTAGGGAAAAACGATATTCGAACTCATTGCTTATTTGGGAAAGTTAATAGGTTCTATAAAAAAAACCTATAAATTTGACACTTTTTAATATATATATATATATATATATATATATATATATATATATATATATATATATATTAAAATGTCTACCTTTCCGAAAAATTTATATTTTTCACATTTACCATAAGTTAAGATTTTGGAGATTTTAACTTTTAATTATCATCGTACAACGAATAAGAAGGCAAACGGGCAACAAATTGCATCGCTAAGTCTTTTTGTATAATAAAACTAATTCTTTTGAAGATTACATTCATAGATCTAGGGGATATAACATTGTTATGCAGGATCCGTTGTACTTTACTAACAAGCTCCACCACATTTAGTGCAAGGAAACCAAACGTATAAAAATGCAAATGGTATGAACATATGTTGATTTTCCATGCACGGTTTCTCATGTTTGGTGACCTTGCATGTAGCAGCTTTTAATGCAGTCTGTCCCGTCATGAAACCCACAACCCTCAAGCCTACGAGAGGGGATACCCCTGTAAGGTCCACACATGTGTGTTTCCCTCAAACTCATCCAAAAATCAAAACGTCAGCTGGTCTAAGGGTTGACATTCCTTATGTCGGGTCAGTCAGAAAATTCACATGAGTCTCTTTCTTTGCGGAAACTCTAGCACACTTACATATGTTGACCAAAACATCCGTAACCATATTATGTCTGTATTTGAACCCTGATGGTTCTTTGCGATGAATTGCATGCCCTCCAAAAGAGTCCAAACATGAATTGTAACACACCGGACATATCTTGCCGGCTGAGTATATTAGAATCATGAATCGATTTTTGAGGATGGTACGATACTCCACATGAGACATATGTTGGCCAAGCCTATCTATAGGATAGCTAGAAGAGAATCTTGAGCATGTGGTGCACGTAAACACTGAAAAACTGCTTTCTGTCGAGCCGTCATGTTAAAATACACCTCCATATATCGGATAATTTTACTAAAAATAACACTAATAAGTTAACCTGCAAACCAAAACGTTTGTTGATTTTATTTGAGAAAAAAAAAAAGTTTTGGTTTAAAGCGGTAAATGTAAAAATCTTGTGTTTTCTTTTATGAAATTAACTTTTAGTATTTGAGTGAATAACTAAGATTTCTCTTTTATGTATTAATTACTTTTGGTTTAAGCCAATAAATATAAAAATCTTATGTATTTTTTATCAAATGAACTTTTTATTATTTTAGCATTTCAGTGAATAATTACGATTTATTTTTTATCTATTATTATATTTTCTAATGAGATTTTTTAATGTGTCAATGATACATATAAAAAGTGTTAATTATGGAGAATATTACTATAATTAAAGGAAGAATTTCATATATATCATTCTTAGATATTAAAATATCATATTTACCCAACTTAATTTCTAAATATCATACTTACCCTTCATAAAATTTCGAAATATCATATTTACCCTTCATAAAATTTAAAAATATCATATATGTCATTTTTAAACATCAAAATATCATATATGTCCTTCTTAAATATCAAAATATCATATATGTATTTTTTAAATATCAAAATATCAATGATAATATCTAAAATATTCTCCATCTATAAAATGATAATAATCAACAACAATAAAAAACTAAACAATCAAAATATATATTCCATAGAAAGGGTTAAACATGAATATTTTTATCTGTCAAGAGGCCGACATTCCAACAATTTATAAGTTCACATTCCATTATTATAGACGTAAGGATAATATGGTTAAATTTTTTAATTATTATAATAATTATAAGGTATAAAATATGATTATAAAATATTAAAAACATTATAAAAAACGATTTTGGCAAATATGATATTTTGAAGGTTTATGAATGATAAATATAATATTGAGAAATTAAATTAGACAAATATGATATTTTGAAGTTTAAAATGGGCATATATGAAATTCTCCCATAATTAAATATAAAACATATTTATTATAGCAAATATTTTTTTAATTAAAAATATAAAATGTATTAATTATGAAAAGTTTTTCGTATAATTAATATAATTTACATTTGATTATCGTAACAAACTAAGTAGGGTAAATTACACCATTCGTCCCTCGTGCACATGCCAGAAAGCGTGTTTAGTCCCTATTTTCAAAAATTAACTCGGACCGTCCCTCATTTGGTTAATAGTTGCATGCTACATCCCTCATTAGTTTTAATTTGCGAGCTACGTCCCTTGCGAGACCTAAAATGACAATTATGCCCTTTTATATTTCTTTTCAATTTTACTTAATGTTATAATTATTATTTTTTAATTTAAAAATAAAAGAAAAAACAATATGGCCCCATTTCATGCCCCCACCCCCAACAAATCATCGGATGAACACCACCTGTATCTCTCAAACACCATACATCCATCGCCAACTTCCCAATTCAAACCTTTTTCGTCAAACATATACCTTATAACACCTTAAAACCCACCACCAGCTTCCTACCTCCTCCATTTTCGGGTTACATCACCATCGGACACCCTTGCTGCACCCCTGTTCATCATCACAAACCGTACCAACACCCAATTTAAACCATACCTTCAAAATTGGAAAACCCACCACAGTCGGAACCACCTTCGTACAACCTGCACCATTCGAACAAGGTATGATAAGAATGAAAATTCTGATTTGCACCAATTCTGTTTAGATTTTTTTGGCTCGATCAGAACCCGCTTCTCCGATCTAAATCTCCATCATCTTCGATTTATAAGTTTAGGGTTTAGTTTGGTTTCATTTGCAGGTTCAGGTTTCATTTTTTGAGGTTTGAGTAATGACCGGTGGTGATTGCAGGAGGTGCTAGCAGTCTATGAGACAAAGTGAGAGAGATGACCGATTAAATTCAAAGAAGTAGAAAGGAAATTGGGGAAAGGATCAATCGCAACTTACTTCTCTCTTTTCGATATTCTAATTTGCTGCAAATTGAGAACAATTAAAATGAGAGGCGACTTAGGGTTAAGTGGAGATATGAGATGGTGGTGGTGATTGTGGTGTTGTTGATGATTCCACCGGCGATGGTGGTGCTGTTGATGATTCCATGTACAGTTCCTTCTTGAGTTCTAGGGTTTGATAGAGGCGATTGGAGGAGGATGAAGATCGACTGGTCCGATTTTGGTTTATCGCGTTTAGGTGAAGGTGAAGGTGGGGCTGATGGGGCTTTGTCGGCGTTGGGAGTGGCCAAAGAATGGGGGAAAAACGTAGAGGAATACGTAGGAGGGGGAAGCGGGGAGGGGTGGGTTCATGTATGTTTATTTATTGTTTTTTTTTTAATCTAAAAATAATAAACAAATAAGAAGAAAATTAAAAAAGAAATAAATAAGGGCAAAATTGTCTTTTTATGTCTAGAGGGACGAAACGTGCACGTTTTAAACGAACGAGGGACTATCCGAGTTAATTTCTGAAAATAGGGACTAAACACGCTTTCTGGCATGTACATGAGGGACGAATGATGTAATTTACCCAACTAAGTAACTAACAATCTTTATAATTAATATTTATCCTCAGGCAAATGTTAGATTTTTTTTTTTAATTATTATTTAGTCACGAATATGAATGGAGCAAATAGCAAAGCTTTTCCTTATTTCGTTTTCCCCTTTCCAGCCTCGCCTGTATCGGGTTTGAGACCCAAAAGCATACTCTTTGTAATATAGACTGCTAGCAAGATCGGAAACTACGGGTACAGATTGGGGAAAAGTGTGTTTCTGTTGCGCGTGAGTGAGAGTTAGCGATGGTGTCGTATATGAGTTTGGTGATGTATGGAGTGGGCGGAATAGTGGTGGCCGGAATGGCATTATTGGTGGTGTTTCAGGAAAAACTAGTCTATGTGCCGGTTTTACCTGGTCTCACCAAGTCCTATCCAATCACACCAGCTCGACTACGCATGATTTACGAAGATGTATGGCTTACTTCTTCCGATGGTTTACGCCTTCACTCCTGGTTCATCAAGTTCTCGCCAGATTGCACAGGTCTCTCTCAATGAATGCTTTCTTGTTTCCTTTTTCCTTTTAGTTGCGTGTTGATTCTTTCTTCGTTTTCGCAAATTTCGGCTTTCTGGTGAATTAGGGTTCGTTTTCTATTATTAGTCAGATTATTTCGATATTGAACAATCAACGAGGATCTGGAATAGATTGCCCTAGGCAGATTGCTAGGTTGGGGTTACGGAAGGATGTTTGATTACGATACGATAGCTGAGTTTTAGGGTTTAGAAGCTCATTACTGAAGGACTCTGATTTGGAATCAGAACTTATTTAGTCCCAAAATTTGACAATCTACGATTCCTTTCATTGCAATGCGTACATGCATACATCTTTAGAAGATAAAGAAATCTTGTTTCTGCTCTAGTCAGTTTGTAGTTTTTGTTCAAAAGTATTTACAGTTTTAGCTTAGACTGATAAGGGTGAAGAAGTTCATATGTGATTAAGTCCTTCATATTCTAAACCTCAGAACTGAAAGCTTACTTTTCTTTGATTTGCAGGCCCAACTATTCTATTCTTCCAAGAAAATGCTGGAAGTATCCTTTTTTTTTTCTTGCAGATAAACTATCTATAATACGTCTCACAATCTCTTAGTTGTTTAACTTGATATATTATCTTTTTATTATCCTAAATCTTGATGAATTCAAATGTTTAGTTATTGGAAGACTTGACCAATGAACCACAGATATTGCACATCGCCTTGAGATGGTGCGAATAATGCTACAAAAGTTGCAATGTAACATCTTCATGCTATCCTACAGAGGGTATGTTGGTCTTTTTGTGTTTAAATTTTTATATTCTCATGTCTTGATCTTGCTCTCATAATTCTAATCCATATCTTGTTGACAATGAATAGATATGGTGCTAGTGATGGCTATCCATCTCAACAAGGAATCATTAAGGATGCCCAGGTTTCATTCCAGCCATAATTAGTTAAAATAATATTCTTTTTCTTTTTTTCTTAATTTATTGAAACTCAATCTCATACATTTCAACTAGGCTGCTCTAGATCATCTCAGCCAAAGGACAGACATTGACACTTCTCAAATAGTTGTATTTGGAAGGTCTCTTGGTGGAGCAGTTGGTGTTGTAGTTACCAAAAATAACCCTAACAAGGTATATCTTATCTCAATTACAAATTTATCATTTTCATCTTTTATTTTTCATATCAAGAAAAATCCCATTTCCTTTTTAATACAAACTTTCACTTTATCACAGGTTGCTGCCTTAATACTGGAGAACACTTTCACATCCATTCTAGACATGGCTGGTGTTTTGCTACCCTTTTTGAAATGGTTTATCGGTGGAAGCATTTCAAAAGGCCCAAAAATTCTTAACTTTGTTGTCCGTTCTCCTTGGAACACCCTTGATACAGTCGGCGAGGTAAAACTATAATGTATTCACATACATTTCTCGCCTAAGCGCGCTTAACTGTGGAGTTCTGATGGGATCTGCTACCCTCACGGCTTTAAAACGCGTTTAGAAGAAAGTATCTGTAACATTACATCCCAGGTGCTATGCCAGACCGGTCGGTCTGTCAGTCTGGCACCTGGGATGGGGTGTTACAGGGATTATCGAAATGATTGTTTTGACTGTTTGACATTTGGATGCAGGTTAAGCAACCGATTCTTTTTCTTTCGGGACTACGTGATGAGATGGTCCCACCGCTTCACATGCAAATGCTATACGCGAAGGCAGCTGGCCGTAACAAACGTTGCACGTTTGTAGAATTCCCTAATGGCATGCACATGGACACGTGGCTGGCTGGTGGTGATTTTTATTGGAAGACTGTCCAAACTTTTTTACAAAAAAATGTCATCCAAAACAATGGTATGTATTTAACGCCCTTCGTAGCTAATTTCGATAATTGTTGGATGGAATTTGTTGTAAGAATCGGTTTAAATGTGATGGTGTGGTTAGTATCAGGGACTCTTTTTGTGAAGGATACAAATGCTAGGGGCTCAGTTGTAACTTTTTGTTAATAGATACTTGTGTTAACAAAACTTATGCGGTGGTTGTTTCTTTGTACAGATACAGAAACACGATGACCTAGTTGGATAAAAGAGCGGTGGTTTCATCATTTGTTGAGGAAAAATTGTTTTCAGTTTACAGAATTTTAGGTGGTGCTACATGACTTGGATTAGAAATACATCCAACTTTTTTTTTTTTTTTTTTTTAATTATTTTTGTACGAAATGATCTTTATGCTTTGAAATGTATTGGAATTTGTTTACATCTACAAATACGTGTTTTGGGAGAAAATAGGAATGTTGGGTTGTCATGTTTATATAGTTGATGCAACTATTAATTTTGCAATGGATGCGGTACGTAATCATTATTTGCTGCGAAATGTTTTTTTTATTTATTTATTTATTTATTTTTTATTTTTTATATTGTTCCCACAAAAAAATTATATTAATTTTTTTACATAAACTGTGAAAATTTCTTCCTATACACCGGCATTGTCTTTCATATAGGGAATTGATTTTTCCACGGTATATTTTATCAATCAGTTTCGATCTCATTTGGTTACTGTTAACCTCTTGATCAGAATTCTATCAGTTCTTATTTATAGTTTTATATACTATATTAATGTTTTTTACAGATTGGCCACGGTTTCTTAGTGTTTCTCATTTTAAGTCTGTTTGCTTCTGTTGTTCACTACATGTTGCCCACAGGCAATGTTTTAAAAACCGGTTTTTTAATTGAACCGGTCGAGTGATGTTTTCCGGTTTAACCGGTTCAACTGGATGGTCAAACCGGTTATATATTTTCATATGTTTTTAATTATCCTGCATACATTGATTACAAAAACTTGTCGATCTTTTTAGTATTACAAACGTAAATAGAATGCAACATATAAAAACAATCATTATAGAAGTCAAAATCAAACAAAGAAGATCAAAACAAACACAAAAATCCAAGAATATCCGGTTCAATCCGGTCCATTCCAGTTCAATTCAGCCGATTGAACCGGTTTTTTACCAAAACCGGCCGGTTCAATCCAGTCAGGAAATCATTATAAAACCGGTCCAAATCGAACCGCTCTCAACTCCGGTTCCCGGTTCGACCGGTTCAACCTCTAATGTTTCACTTTACCTCCCTCTGACCATTTTGACTTTTCTTTTCTTTCTTTTCCTTTTCCGGTTTGTATAAGTTACATAAATGCTCCCTGAATTTTGTATAGCTTTTTATTTTTATATGGGTTTTGCTATAAGTTTTCTATCTTGTACATCTGCCATAAATTAGATAAATAATCTCTCTGTTTTGGTGACTTATTATGAAATCATCCATTTAATTAAAAATATTTTTTGTTGTTTTAAACGTACCGATTTTTTTAAAAACTAAAAAAATAAAAGGCATCTCGGAGCGAAGCCCGTGATCACCTACTAGTTAATATAATATAAGGGAAAACAGGCCATGCTTTTCATGTGACAACCCGAACATTTTTCCGTTAACATTAGCCCGATTCCACTAATAAATTTGGAATTTTATTTTGTTTCGTCAAAATTCTTATGGTTTGGAAAATCACTTAAGTCATATAATTAAATTTTATATATAAAAGTCGGAACCAAAATCGCACGAAAACCCGAGTCACTTCGACAAATCAGTGAAAATCGGCTTGATTGGTGTTTACGGCCGTGAACCCGATCACGGCCGTAATCCCATTCACGGTTGATGGACCCCATGAACCCAGCCTATATATGTGTGCTCCTACCCCTCATTTTCACTTTTCTAGCCGAAAACACATCCCTTCTCTCTCTAACTTCTCAACCGCAAACACAAAAATACCCAATTTTCTTCCGGAAGTGATCAAAAATCACCTTTGGGTGTTGTTGCCTCCAAAACGCGTTTTTTATCAAATCAAGGATTGTATTTTTGAGTTCACGACCGCAAACCCTTCAAATCTTCAAGGACCGAAATCAGTTCATGCCCGTGAACCCTTCAAACATTCATATTTTCCTCAAGAACATCATTCACAACCATAAACCATTCAAGAGGCTATTCACGGCCAAGAACAGTTCACGGCCGCAAACCTTCCCAAGTCGTGAACTTGGCTGAAAATCCACTTTTTCCGATGCAATCGAGTCCCGGTAACATTCCTAAACCAAAAGCAAGTGTTTTTCCAACACTATAATTAATGGTTTTGCTAATAAAATGTATATATGTATTTAATTGTTATTAGGATCACGTTAAGTGTCGCGTACATCAACCCGAGGGTCTTCATTTCAGTTTCGTTGTCCGACACTTTCCCGCAACTATCAGTGAGTTCATATCCCTATGCTTTTACTATTTTTAACGTTTTAAGGGGGGAATACAAGTCAAACACAAATGATTTCGTGAACTTATACAAAAGAATTTTACATGTTTAGAACTTATGCAATTGAGACGACCGAACGATTTCCACATTTTTATAAAATATTTAGATATTTTATCCATTTTGTAACATGCTGAGCATAAAGGACATTTTCAAATTAAAATCATAATTGCATAGTTTTCAGATCAATACACGAACCAAATACATAACATTCATGCAAACTGTAATAAGTATAGTTTGGGATTTCAATACACGGTTTTACATTAACAGGCATATAAACTATGACAGACTTAGTTTATGATATTAAATGCTATTTTTCGGATAACAAGAACACATTACTAAATAATTATTTAAGTTTAATTATTTCTCTACAAAGTATACAAACAGATTTAAATACAAGAGAACAATTCAGATCTACACGTAAAATAGTTAATACAAGATTGTGAGACAACTCTTCACATGTACCTTTCGGGGTACTGGCTAAATCCTATCATTAAGTGTAACTAGAGTCTTCTGGAGGGAGAGCGTGAGATTTGTGAATAGATCTACTCGAGACTGACAATCTCAAACCTGAACTGTTAGCTACAGTTAGACATGCATGCCTGGAGTGACAAACATCATACCGTACGACGCCTGAAGAACGTGGTAGAGGTCACTAGTCATATCAAACATGGTTATACGACTCACAATAATATAAACTAGCATTTGTTTACGGGATTTCATTCTTCATTAGTTTTCTTTTAAGTAATAAAACTACCATACATACTGGTGGTAACCAGGGTTTTCAAACAGAACATACTATACATACTGGTGGTAGCCAAGGTTTTCATACAAAAGGGTTTTTCATTCAAAACAACAATATACAATAATAGTTGGTAGTAATCAGGCATGCAAACTAATACTTTATGGAACACAGTAACAAACACATATGTTAGAAAATATTGGATTTTCTTGGGAAACATACAATCATTTTTATACAGATTCAATAACAGGTTTTCATTACAAAGACATTTTTATGAACTCATAAGCTTAATGCTGATACTCTTTCAAAAATCACTTGTATTCTCAGTAGGGGTGGGAATTATTTGGTTCGGAACCAAAAAACCCGAAAACCAAATCGAACCGAAATCGATTTCAGACCGAACCATATTTATATTCGGTTTTTGGTTTGGTTTAAGACCAAACCAAATTGTAAATTTGGTTTTTGGTTCGAGTTTTGGTCTCATGAATTTGAAACCAAACCGAAGAAACCGATTCGAGGAAACCGAAAAATCAAACCGATTCCCACCCCTAATTCTTAGGGAATCAGTAGACAGGTACTCCAACAGGTTTTGAGAAAACGGAGCATATAGAGTCACGTCTTTTATATTTTTGTTATACTTTTGATGTATACAAACTATGTAACAAACAGATGTATATACCTATATTTCAATGTAATGGTTGTGTTTACTTTGATTACTATGATACAATTGTTGTGATATTGTACTTGACGTCCTCCACCCCCGCACGTTTCTGCCGTTTCGGTTTGGGGGTGTGATATTTCAACTTATAAAACTGGAAGACACAATCTTTTTGAGCATGTATAGACACAAAGTTATCAGTTTCAAGCCCTATTTAAGTATAAAAATAAGAAAATCTCCAGAAAAGATCTAAAATTTTAGTTCAATTTATGAAAAAGTCTCAAACTAAATTTTGTTTATAGAAAAACAAAAACTACCGGCTAAAACTTCGAAAAAACACTTTTTGACCAGTTTTATAGATTTAGCTGATATTCTGTCTTTTTTGTTAGTTTGCTAAAAATATTATGAATTTTTTGAAAATTACTCGATAACCAAAATATTAAGACTTTTTTTAAAATTACTATGGAATTAATGGATATTATTATTAACAAATCATTTATAAACATAACAAATATTTTTTTATTATAAACAAGGAAAATACATTTGTTTCTAATTTCTAGGAATATAATGGTTAACCAGGTTTATTGTTTATTAACCACTTCAAACTCCTTATATTCCTCCTATTAATACACAATCAATAAGACCATCTCCAACCCACCTTCATTTTTTCCCCAAAAAATGGAGTAAAAAATGGGATAAATAGTGTTTCATCTCCAATTTTACTCCGTTTTTACCCTATTCTTACCTCCAAAAAGTATATTTCATTCTTTTAACTTATATAAATTGTCAAACACACCTCTTCTATTAATTTGGTTTAACAAATATATAATCTATATTTTTTTCATTACAATAATATTAAATAAATAAGATTATATTTATAATATGTAATTATAAGCTTTTGTAAAATACATTATTGTGTTTTAAATTTTCAATATGTATTTAAATTTTAATATAGATTTGTTAAACAAAAAACAAACTTTATATTTATAATTAATTAATATAATTTAATATATAACACAATATTATAAGTATTAAGTATTACATTTAAATAATAATTAGTAAATAAAAAACCAGAAATGTATAAATATATAAAACGAGGAAGTAAAACCGACAACTCAAAATTCATCAACATTTTGGGGGAATTGAGTAGTATAACACCAAATATGGTGTTATACTATTCATTTCCCTCCAAAACGGGGGAACAAATGTAGTAGGGTTGGAGAGGAATGATGTAAGTAATGGGTGAAAAAATAGAGAACGTAAGTGGGTTGGAGATGCTCTAAGTGTCTACTTTCTATTGGGTGTGACATTATAGGATCACATGTTATTAGAAAATATCATTATATAATGATTCTTGAACATATAAATCTTTCATTATGTTCTTTAATGTAAATACCACCTAACCTCCATACATTATTCGGTAACAACCATCAAATTACAAACATAGTGAAAAATAAACTTTGAATGACAATTTAAAT